GGGTCAGAGGGAGAAGCAGACTCCCCGCCGAGCAGGGAGCCCGATGCGGGACTCGATCCCGGGACTCCAGGATCACGACCTGAGCCGAAGGCAGTGGCTTAACTGACTGAGCCGAGCCACCCAGGCGCCCCTGGACACTGGTTTTTAAAAAGCCATTGCTGTGTTTGCAACCTCTCCTCTGCCTCCATCAGGCAGTATCTGATGGTTAGGGAAGGCTGGGACTCCCGGATTTGTCCCATCCCTGAGGCTCTCTGTGCTTCGTGAGGTTGGGGGTCCGTGGATGACCAGCATTAGAGGTTGCTGTACCGTGAGGTGGAGGGAGCAGATGGGCAGCAACTAATCAAGAACGAAAAAGTGGGTGTTGCAGGTACTATGATCATTTATCTAAAAAGCCCCCAAATCAGTGGAAAGCTATGTGGACTAATACGAGGGTCACCATTAAGGTGATCAGATACCAACACACAAAAATTAATCATGCCTTAGGAAACCAGGCTTCGAGCTGTATTGGACTTGGAAAATGCTGTAAAAAAAATGCTTATTTTGATTGGCCAATAGTCCAGCAATTGTTGGAGGAAGAACGGAAAAGACCAAGGCAAACAGAGATTTTAGTAATAAAATTCCTTCTCACCCTAGAGAAGAAGAAAATGGGTTTTTATAGTGAAATACAACCCATAAAAAATACAATTTTGGCAGTTTTATTTTTCAAGTTCAGTCATCCTGAGATTGTCTCATTCAAGGATAATAAGCCTGTGATTAAGCAGCTACATGTCTTGGAAAAGCCCCTATATTTCTTGTAAATTTTGCTCCCATCCTAATAGAGTATTTGTTCCCTAGGGCTGTCATAATGAAGTAACGCAGACTCCTGGCTTAAGCAACAGAAATGTATTTTCCTCACAGCTCTGGAAGCTAGAAGTCTGAGATTAAGGCGTTGGCAGGGTTGGTTTCTTCTGAGCCTCTGTCCTGGGTTTGTAGGAGGTTGTCTTCTGATATCTTCATATGGTCTTCCCTCAGTGCCTGTGTCTATGTTTACTCTTAGCAGAGTACCAGTGATATTGGTTTAGGACTCACCCTAATGACCGCATTTTATTTTATTTTAAAGATTTTATTTATTTGAGAGAGAGAGAGTGAGCATGAGAGGGGGGAGGGGCAGAGGGGGAAGCAGGCTCCCCACTGAGCAGGAAGCCCTATGTGGGTCTCAATCCCAGGACTCCAGGATCATGACCTGAGCCAAAGGCAGTCGCTTAACCAACTGAGCCACCCAGGCACACTAATGACTGCATTTTAATTACCTCTTTAAAGACTGTATTTCCAAATACTGGAGGTTAGGACTTCAACATTTAAATTTAGGAAGGAGGAGGGCACACAGTTCAGCCTATTTACACAGACTTCAGGTAAGTTTAGATACCTAAATTTATCTAAAGTGTATGTGATGGAGAAGAGGCTGTGAAAGTGGAATTCCAAAATTATTTTTGATGTACCAGTTAACCAATTTGACAAGGTACTGGGGGAAAGTCATTCATAATAGCAAAACAAATAAACAAGCAAAAATAAGAAATAAGCCTTGCTTATTATTATTGCTTGTTGTTAACAAGCAAGACTTACATGGAAAAATATAACTATGTGATTATAACTAAATAAGCGTTAACTATGT